CAGTATCTTGCTTGGCAGGGATGAACTTTTATGGCATTCTGTCATTGTAATCTTGGGGTTTGTTTTAGGAGATGCTTGAGTGAATCTGGACGTTTGACCTTTAGAGTGAGTGAGAAATAACAATACACATCTGATATTTGAGGTCAGGAATATTTATTTTCCTTTGTGTCTTGAGATCCAAAATGGGATAAACTGTCCAGGAGGCATATCCCTGACTCTATATTGTTTCTATAACATTGAAGAGATAGTTTTAAATATATTTTCCTATATATTGAATTTCAAAAATTGAATGTGTGGTTAACATAGCTAAATGGTTTCCTTCGAGACCCTTGGAAAGCCTCCTATTTCTCTGAGGTGCTGAACACATCTCCACCAAGTGTTCATCACCTCTCCTGCCCCACATCAGGCTCTGTCTTTCTTTTAACTAAGAGGACGATCCATTCACAGGTTGCTTAACCCCGTCTGAAGAGACCATGGTACCAGTTCATTTCCATCTCTCTTTTTCCAGACACCCTTTGACCTATCTGATCTGTAATGTATCATTTTCTCAGTGACTCAGTTGTTTCTCAGACAAGTGAGAAAACAAGAGAATAGTTCTTGTAATTTCTAGAATGTTGAAGGAAAAAAACAGATTTCCTAACTCTAAACACCTAGTTACTTTCAAGGTCACTCAAGCAGTCAATGAATCTGTTCTTTCTATTTTTTTCATAACCAGAGATCTTAGTTCCCTGGCCAGGATGTTAACAGCACGCCTGCAGTGAAAGGGTGGAGTCTTAATCACTGGACAACTAGGGCAGACCTGACTCAGGTTGTGTCCCGGGGATTTTGTTCTTGATGGGCAGATTTGGGCAACCAGGTATATGACAAGGCCATTTCTTGGTGCAAAGAAAGACCAAAGGACCTGTTTTTGTTGCTGTTCAGTCGCTCCGTCGGGTCTGACTCTGTTAAGGACCCTGAATCCAGAGCCGTTTTCCAAGGGTCATTCAGGCACATGCATGAGAGGGTGGGTTCAAAAGAAGGGGTCCTGGTGAGCACAGCCCAGTGGATAAGGAGGGAGGCTTTAGAAGCCCAGGGGGTCACTGGCCCAGGTAGGCCTAGAAGTCATCCCCGACTCAGTGGGCATGAGTTTGAGTAAACTCTGGGAGATGGTGATGGACAGGGAGGCCTGGTATGCTGCAGTCCATGGAGTCACAAAGAATCAGACACGACTGAGCAACTGAACAGAACTGAACTGAGCATCCTGATGGTGATTGCTTGTCTCTGAGACCTGTGATACCGGGGAAAGACAGACATCAGGGTTCAGTCAGACAAGTGACAGTATTTGTCCTCAATTGTGTCCAACTCTTTGCTGCCCCATGGACTGTAGCCTGCCAGGCTCCTCTGTCCATGGGATCTCCTAGGCAAGAATATCGGACTGGATTGCCATTTCCTTATCCAGGGGATCTTTCCAACACTGGGATCAAACCTGGGTCTTATGTATTGCAAGCAGATTCTTTACTGTTGGACTGTTGGAACCACCAGAAAAGACCAGTTAGACAAATATGAATGTATAAGGATGGGAAGAAGACATCCATTTGTTCTTTGGGGGGGGGGAGGTGCCCACCTAGAAGCAGGTAACACAGAGTATGGATTCCTCTGAAATGGTTCACTGGGTTGTACATCTCAGCATGGTTTCCAAAGGTGCCCCCATTAGCCTGACTCACGACAGATGTATAATTTTCCCATTAAATGTCTAGGGAGTATTTTCAGATACACACAGCCCAAGCAAAGGACAGATCAACACTCAATGTGAGCAATGGAGATAAGATCTATACTTTGTCTCAAGTTTTCCTGCCAGAAATCCTCACCACTCGGAGCTTCTTTGAGCTCGTATTGCCACTGAGAACCTCTCAAAGCTCTCCAGGTACCAGGAACAGAGAGATGTGAAAAAAAAAAAAAAAGAAAAGTGACATATTCATGTCCTTCCTAATCCTTTGGAAACGTTTAGGCTTCCAGGTTGACATGGACAGGAGGAAATTTCCTACACATGTCAGAGAGGACCGGTCCCATAGAGAAAGCTTCCATTGTATCTTGCCACTGTGCACCTTTGTTTTTATGTTCCAGTACTGCCATTCATCGTTGAGTGTCTGTTTTCTTTCAATCCTGCATGTTAGTTTTACTATGAATGATGGACAGTCAGTTTCTTTGTGGGTGTTTCAATATCAGTCGCTTGACTTAGTCCTTGATCAAAGTGTGTTATTTTTTCAAGTATATAGGGATGGGAGTTTTCCACCCCTATGCCCTATGTATTAATGGGTGAGTCTTAGCTAATGTTAGGTTGGAAACAAGAGCCAATATCAACAGTAAATCCCACACCTGCCCTTCTCAAGCTGTGTGCGCTGAGTGAAAGAACAGTTTCATTCTCTCTAAATAACACGCTTCTGAATAACCAACAAATCACAGGAGAAATCAAAAAAGAAATCAAAATATGCATAGAAATGAATGAAAATGAAAACACAACAATCCAAAACCTACGGGACACTGTAAAAGCAGTGCTAAGGGGAAGGTTCATAGCATTCTCTCCACCATGTCATGACTTCTCCTTTATCTGACAGGAACAGACAGGAAAATAAGTTCAGTATCACGTGCTATAAACGTTTACCTACATGGGCATCACACACACAAAAAAAAAAATGTGTGTTCTATAAGATTCCTCCTGTCCACACTTTGGCCTGAATTCGGTAAATACAGATTTAGTGCCAAGAAGAGCCTAAGCCTCAGAATTCAGCAGGAAGCAGAGAGACTCAGAATATCGTCCAGCGAGCAGTCTTCCTGTGAATGGAGACAAATAATATTAATAGAAGAAAGAAAGAATTGACAAATAGATCCCAGTTTATAAGTCGCAGGGTGAAGAATAAAGAAGGCAGGAACTTAGTGTGTGTTTGGGGTCCTGTTTCGGAAAGAAGGAATTGAGTCCTTTCTTCAAGGAATTGAATGAACTTCAAGGAATTGAAGTCCATTGAGAAGGTTTGGAGTGATGCTCTGAGGGGAGTTGGAAGAGTGAGGTTACTGTGTATCTGTGAGAAGGATGCAATACGACTCAAGAAGAGAAAGCACAAATGCATTTTGAGAGGTCCCTGTGGTTGGTTATATCTCTCAAAATTCAAAATTGGAAGGAGAAGTCCTCACCTCTGGACCATCAAGGTAGTCCCTTGAAGAGCTTTCACTGTGATAAGGCATTCCATTTAAAGGAATTATGAGACAATTCATAGAGACAGAAACCATTAACTGGTTTGTTGATTGTGGTGCTGCAACATTGACAGATAGCTTTAACCATCTCGTAGCTATTATAAATTCATAATGGAAAATATAGGAAATTGGATTCTTAAATTAGATCTCTATGAATCAACACAACTTGTAAAAAAAAAGTGTTACTATTTGAAATAAACAGAAATACAATGCCCTTTATATTCTAATTTTCAGGTATGTGTTTAACAAAGACTCTTGTCCAGGATGTTAATATGTTTGTGTGTTAATGAGAAGCTATGTTTGTACATAGTCCCTTGGACTGCAAAGAGATCTAACCAGTCAATCATAAAGGAAATCAGTCCTGAATATTCTTTGGAAGGTCTGGTGGTGAAGCTGAAACTCCAATTCTCTGGCCACCGATGCAAAGAACTGACTTCTTGGAAAAAACCCTGATGATGCAAAGATCGAAGGCAGGTGGAGAAGGGGATGACAGAGGATGAGATGGTTGGTTGGATGGCATCACTGACTCAATGGACATGAGTTTGGGTAAACTCTGGGAGTTGCTGATGGACAGGAAAGTCTGACGAGCTGCGGTCCATGGGGTCTCAATGAGTTGGACACGACTGAGCAACTGAACTGAACTGAACTGAGGAGGAAAGGAAAACAGAGAGGATGAGATGGTTGGATTGCAACACCGACTTGATGGACATGAGTTTGAGCCAGCTCCAGGAGTTGGTGATGGACAGGGAGGCCTGGCGTGCTGAGGTCCATGGAGTCACAAAGAGTCGGACATGACTGAGCGACTGCACTGAACTGAACTGAATTCCTCTGTGGACATTTCAGTCAGTGAGTCTCTTAACTTAGTCCATAATTCAAGAGTATTATTAGTAATATCAATTATATAGGTGTGGGAGTTTTCCACCCCTCCACCCTGTGTAATAATCGGTGAGTCTTAGCTAATGTTAGGTTGGAAACAAAAGCCAATATCAACAGTAAACTTCATACCTACCCTTCTCAAGATGTGTGCACTGGGTGAGTTTCATTGTGTACACAATGCCTGGACATCTCCTTTATCTGACAGTAAGAAACTGGAAATAAGTTCAGGACAATGTTTACCTACATGTCCTACATGCTAGAAACGTTTACCGCCATGTGAATCTTAGAGACGTGTGCTCTGTAAGATTCCTCCTGTCCATGCTTTGGTCTGAATCCAGTAAATACAGATTTAGTGCCAACAGGAGCCTGAACCTCAGTATTCAGCAGTAAGCAAACAGCCTCAGTGCAACATCCAGTAAGCTGTCTTCCCATGAAAGGAGACAGATGCATATTAATACAAGAAACAAATAATTGCCAAAAATCCCTGTTTATAAGTGGTAGATGAAGAACTAAGAAATATGGGAACTTAGGGTGCGCTCGGGGTCCTGTTTCAGAAAGAGGGAATATTTCCTTAGAGAAGGTTTTGAGTGATGCTCTGAGCATAGTTGGAAGAGTGAGTTTGGTGTGTATCTGTGAGAACAACACAATATCGCTCAAGAACAGAAATGACAAATTCTCTTTGTTGGTTGTATCCACCAAATTCTACAAGTGTGTTCACTTTTTTTAAAAGATTTTTTTTTAATAATGACCGCTTTTTAACTATTAAATTTGTGACAGTTTTGTTTCTGTTTTAGGGTTTGGGTTTTTGCCTCTGACACAGGTCCCTCAGTGTAATATTAATCCCCCAGCCAGGGAGTGAACCCACACCCCTATGCATTGGAAGGTGAAGTCCTCACCTTTGGACCATCGAGGTAGTCCTGTGAAGTGCCTTCTCTTTGATAAGGCATTCCATTTAAAGGAATTGTGAGACAATCCATACATACAAAAACAGTAACTGGTTTGTTGATTTTGATGGTGAAGCATTTAGAAATAGATTTAACGGTTTCACAGTTATTACACATCACAGTGGAAAAGTGTAGGAAATTGGAGTCATAAATAGCTGTTCATGAATCAACACAATCTGTAAAATTGTTATCATTTGAAATAAACAGAAATACAATGCTGTTTCTATTTTAATTATCACGCATGTGTAAAGCAAATTCTGCTCTCCAGTATGTCTGTGCTCTAATGAGAAAGCACGCATATGTGTATATAACTGTTATAAAATTTTTGTTGGAGTATAGTTGCTTTAGATTGCTGGGTTAGTTTCTGCTTACATCAGAGTGAATCAGCTTATCCGTATACATATATCAACCTTTTTTCGGATTTCCTTCCCATCGGATCCCCTCAGAGAACTGAGTGCCCTGTACTGTCCGGTAGGTTCTCCGTAGTTCTCTGTTTCATTTATAGTATCAACGACATCGAAAGGAAGAAGGAAGAAGAGAAAGAGGCTGGGAGAGATGGAAGGCAGGAAGTGAAGGAGTTGACAGAGGATGGTATAGTTGAATGGTATCACTGACTCGGTGGACATGACTCTGAGCAAACTCTGAGAGATGGTGAAGGACAGGAAAACGGGCGTGGTACAGCGCGTTGCAACTCACAAAGAGTTGCAGACAACTTATCGACTGAACAGCAGTAACATCCATAGTGTATACTGTGTGGATCCCAATCTCCCAACCCATCCCACCCTCCCCTTCTCCCTTGATATCAGTATCTTTCTCCTCTGTGTCTGTGTCTCTGTTTCTGCCCTGGAACCCAGTTCATCTGTACCCCTCCTCTAGAATACACATGCGTGTATTAATAGGCGCTATTTGTTTTCCTGTGTTTAGTTTACTACACTCTGTCAGACGGTCTGTAGGTCCAGCCAGATCTCCGCAAATGACTATGGCATGTTCCATCGCGTAAATCCACTATTTTTGCCTTGGAAACCCCATGAACAGAGGAGCGCAGTGGGCCACGGTCCATGGGGTCACAAAGACTCAGATGACTTAGCAAGTAAACAACAGCAAAGTAATCGCGCCTTTTCCCATCATCTGTTGATGGACATGTGGCTTGCTTCTATGTCCTGGTTATTGTACATGGTGCTACTCAACAGTGGCGTGCATGTACATTTTGGAATTAGAGTTTTCTACGGGATTATAAATTTCAACAAAACTGTCCGAAGTACCTAGTTCTCTCTAAAGGATTAAGCAGCAATTTAGATGGAAATACTTTAATGTGAAGGAATATGATCCCAAGAGTTGGACACCACTTAGTGACTAAACCATCCCCACTACCACCACGTATGATCACGTGTCTGTAGATGACTTTCCCTAAGCTTAGTGATATTTCTCTCTTACTTCTTCAAAAATTTTCTACTAAATCTTCTTGACCTGAAAATTTATGGAACATTCTATTCAATTTCTTTAATAGATAAAGGATATTAGAAGTTTTCAGTTTATCATGTATTAATTTTTGTAATATGTCATGCAAGTTATCTGTGCATTGTATCAGGAGTATTAATTCCAGAAACATAAATTTGTTTATAGTTCCCTCATATTCTTTATCTTTTTAATTTGTGGTGATAATCCATTTTTTTAATTACAAAGTTATCATGAATACACACAATCATACATATATGTATATGTGTGTATATGCATTTGTGTGTATATGTTGTACACAGTCACACACATATGTATATGTGTGTATATATTTTTATGTGTATATATGTGTATATATATACATAAATTTATATAAATGTATATGATGTTTCAGAATTTTTAACTTGTTCATGCCAAGTCTTGCATTTCAACATTTCTTAAGAGATTTAACCTCTTATTTTGTCCTCCATTGCCTCTGTGCTTATCCACTCATCCAATCTAGTATTTCTAGATGTACTGTGAAGACAAGAGTCAGAATTCCAACTGCATACACTCTGCTATACAAGTGGGATAATTTAAACATTGCCCTTGACCTCCATTACTACCAATGAAGCCGTGGAAACATTCATTACTGCAGCCTTTGACACTGGCCAGCTGTAGCCCATTTGGAAGCGATGTCTCTGCAGGAACTAAGACATTTATTCTGTTACGTATCACTTAAGTCTAGTGTTATTTTCACAACTCTTAGACCATACCTCTGAACTTTGGCCCAACTCTTGGAGTAAGTCTATATTTTGAGTGTTTGCTAGATCCTTTAGGTTGTAATCAGCTCGACCACCATGGGGAGCTGCTCACTGTGCTCTGCCCATGAGAGCAGGAATGTCCACTCCTTGGAAATACTAGCATCACCTGGTCTTTGAAACATAAGAGGCTGGAGGACCATCTTTAGGTATTATGATGACTTTCAGCTTCCTGTCTGAGCTGTCAATCATCTTGTTCCTGCAAACACAGCACTGACTTCACGATACTCTATTAACTAAGAATCAGATGCTGCCCAACATTGATTACTAGTGAGTCAACGGTTAGGAAATACCAGTCCTTCAGCTCAGTTGCAGAAGTGCTGGTGCTGTCAGAATACACGTTTCTCAGTTGTGGCCCATGGCATCTTACACTTTCTCTCTCTGAAGCTTAGAGAGTGGAACACAAGCTCCTTTCCTTTCCCTGTGATGAATATGATGCTTTCCAGGGACATCTTTCTTGACTAGGCTGTCCACTCCTGCTATAGTAAGAGAATCCATAACACTTTGCCCTGCCCCAGGATGATTTAGTCCTTTTAATCCATCTCCCCTCAGCGCCTCTAGTATGTCTCTACTTAATCTTCATCAGAACTGTCTCTGATGGAACACCTGTTCACTTAAGTATATGTTCCTAGATACTTAATGTGTATATTCATGACTCTTACAATAGAGGACTTTGTGTACAGGTACACATAAGTCAGTTGTGTATTAAATCAATTTATTTAAGCCCTCAGGAATCATACACCACCAAGCAAGATGGGATTAGTGACCAGGAGAGATGAGATGGGAGAGGGAGTGTGAGTGTGAAGAGAGAAGCGTCATGTTAATCAGAAACCAGGAAAGTCGTCTTCGTGTTGTTGATCTTGATTCCATGGAGATGAGGACATGTCTGGCCTCAGTGACTGTTTCTGTAGGTGAGTGGAACACAAGCAAAGGTTTAGTAGAGTCGACTGTGTGATGGCTGATAGAGGTGAGCCTCAGGACGGAGGCTGTTCAGGGTCCAGGAGCTGGTAGCTGATCCAATGTTAGAATTCTGGTGGACCTCAGGACTCCACTCCTCTGTGATGTATGGGCATCCCTGTAGAATTTTCTCCAGGATGTATATACAGGGTAACATTTCCCACTGTGCATTGATTCTAGGATTAATGATTTCAGAATGCATGTTCCGGCTCTGAGATTGGAGCACATGCCTCTAATGCCACAAGTTTTTTCTTTGGAGTCTACAGTAGTTAATTTTTTAATTTTTACTTGTTTATTGCTGTATAGTTGATTCCTAATATTAGATTAGTTTCAGAGATACAGAGAAGTGAATAGTTTATGCTAATGCAACTTGTAGTTTCTACGTACATACAGTAATATCTGTGCTTGTTCAGATTTGCTTCCTGTTTAGGATTTTGCAGAGTATTACATAGTTCCCTCTGCTGTACTGTTAGATGTCTTTGGCTATCCATCCTTTACATAATAGTTTGCATCTGCTAATCGCAAACTCCCCATCCTTCTCTTCCCCAAGTCTCTTCCCCTTGGCAACCACAAGTTTGCTCTCTATGTCTGAGCATTTGTTTCTGTTTTGTAAATAAGTTCCTCTGTGTCTTATCTTAGATTCCACATAGATGTCATATGATATTTATCTTTCTCTTTTGACTGACTTACTTAGTATGATAAGCTCTAGGTCCATCCATATAGCTGCAAATATCATGATTTCATTCTATTTTATGGCTGAGTAATATTGCCTGTTCCTATGAACTACATCTTTCTTATATTCAACTGGAATCTAGTTTTCCATTGCTTTTTTTCTTTCATTTTTTTTCCCCCTCAACAGAAAATTAAAAGCCGCACTTTAGCCAAATCAGTTTTGCTTTCTGAGGCTTAGTTTAGAAAGTTGAAAGATCTCATTTTAAGTAAATCTTCTGAAGGGGAATGTGTAATACACATGCATGTTTCAGACAGTGTGGTTAGAAAGCCTTTACTGGTTCTGTCAGATTCAAGTGAGATTAAACACTGGTGTTGTAGGAAACGTGAGCTCTCTTTAACCCTAGTTCTCCTGGAGGAGGGATGTAGGTGGTCATGAATGAGGTCAGTGATGACAAGAACGCTAATTAATTTCCACCAACTTGTGGGGATTCCTGCTTCTCTCTGATGATCCTGGTCTGCAAGATTCCTGGAGGATAAAGCTCTCTAACCAAAGTTGCTCAGCATTAATCAACCAACCCATCTGCAGTTTAATATGGCTCAAGAGAAGAGAAATTACCTAATGTAACAGAAAAAGTTCTCAACTGACAGAATGTAAATGATTGGGCCAAAACAAATTTTACCTACAAAATGTGACAGGTATGAAATCACCATCTGTCCTTGCAGATTTATTCACTGGAGTAACATTAGTAATAGAATATTTTCACTTACACAGGAGTTGAACTTTGTATCCACATGGAAGACAGTAATCTGGGGAAAGATCAAAAGAACAGGGGAAAAAAATCCACCAATTACTATCACACCCCAGTATTTGCAAGGTTGTTTTTTTGTTTCTTTAAGAAAGGGATCATATAAAAGATTATACTTATAGAAAAGAGAAATTTTTAATGAATTTATTTGATTCCTGATAGTATATTTACATATCAGATAAATGATAAGTTTAGGGAAAAGTATAATTCCATTACCATTGTTCATGAACTCCTCAATACTTTTCTCTTCAATCCCTTTCTATTTCAGCAGCTCCCGGAGTTTCTCCAAGATGCTCTCATCAATATATACTGTAACAGAAAAACACCACAGAGAAAACAGAATTTTGTCGCTTAGATTCCAGGAAAATTCTGAATGTAGAACAAGTTAAGTATCCAAGTCAAATCTGCACTTGTTATAAATTAATCTTCAGTTGCCATAACACATGACATAAATGTCTTCTGTCTCTCTTACGAATTACTCCTTGTCCAACTCTATAAGTAGACCCCCACCCCCAGCATCAATAGCAGGACCCCAAAGACTCATAGGAGCCCCATGAATTTGGGGCTTCATCCATCACAGTGCTTAGAGCATGTTAGAAGACCTTGAGAGGGGCCTCTTTATAGCCATGGCCTGAAATTGAGTTGTTAAAAAAAAAAAAAAAAAGACAATCTAGAGGCGACTTTCCTCCGATTAAAGAGAAACCATTTCTACTAAAACTGAGGCTTTTATTTTTAAATGTCCACTGGTGGGAATTACTTAGAAATGTCTGATGATCTGATTCCCACCCCCCCCCCCCACGCCTATGAGCTTCCCTTTCTTGGTAAATTACATTCCAGGGTCCTGCACTCAGTGAATGTAAAGACCTAAGTCCTTAAATTTTGTAGTGGACATTGTCACCATATACTAATTTTATGGGTAAAAGTACTGACGATGGAAATACTTCATGACAATTTCGATGTGAAAATTAGGGCATCATACATACCCAGTATTATAGTGAATCGTATCTCCTCGCCTTGGTCATTCACATATAGAACACATAGTATCCGAAGGGTGTCGGACTCATAAACCACTCTAAGTTCTTTTATCCTGTAATCTGTGAGAGAGAGAAAAGATACATTATACAAGCCCACCTTAATTTATTGTCACTTAGATTTATGGAGGCAAATTGGGTGTATTAGCAATGGAGTATATTGGTCTGTGCTCCGCTCCATGGGTGGGCTGAATTTGACAGTTGCTATGACAGCAAAGAAAGCAGTTAAGACTTTTTTCCCCACCTTTTCATACAATTAACATGATACACTTACATTGTAGTCATATAGTACCCCTTAGGCCACGTAAAACTAGGAATGTTTTTAGGGCCATCGTGAAGAATTTAGAGATGTAAATCTTAGCCAGCATTCCCATGACTTTGAACAGAAGCTACTGTAATGGTTGAACTCATGATGATTTCCTTGTATTTAAGTTCATCCACCGGACCTTGTATGCAATAAGATTTCTTTTTTTTAGTTGAAGGATAATTACTTTACCAAATTTTGTTGTCTTCTGTCAAACCTCTGCATGAATCAGCCATAGGTATACATATATTCCCTCCCTCTTTAACCTCCCTCCTATCTCCCTCCCCATCCCACCCCTCTAGGTTGAAACAGAGCCCCTATTTGAGTTCCCTGAGACATACAGCAAATTCCCCTTGGCTCTCTTTTTTACATATGGTAATGTAAGTTTCCAGGTTACTCTTTCTATACATCTCACCCTCTCCTGTCCTCTCCCTATGTCCATAAGTCTATCTACTCTTTATGTCTGTTTCTCCATGGCTGCCAGGCAAATAAACCCTTCAGTACCATCCTTCTAAGAAGATTCCATATATATGTATTAGTATAGGATATTTATCTTTATCTTTCTGACTTATTTCACTCTGTATAATAGCCTCTAGGTTCATCCACATCATTAGAACTGACTCAGATGTGTTTGTCTTTTAAAATAAGTGACACTGATGTACAAACTCAGGACGCACCCTTGAGACGTTGTTTCATAGGGCTGTTGTGAATTATCTATTAGAAACTTATAAAATATACTGTCTGCACATGTTGTTCTCATCACATCTGACTCTTTGAGACTCCATGGACTATAGGCCCCCAGGCTCTTCTCTCTCACTGAGTAACACTCACAATTGAGCGGAGACCTCCAAGCCTCTCAAGTGTGTTTGAACCCTTGTATCATGACAAAGTAAAGTGCTTGGAAATCTTAGGGACTGGAGACAGAACACCCCTCTGATTGTCAGCAGGATTAGAATTCAGGTATGTGAGATTGTGGAAGGAAGTCATGCCAAGATTTCCACCCAAACAGTCTGACTAGAGAGACACTCATACTTACAGTCAGCAACATAAGTGTTGGCATCCTGCCTTTTTCCCGTGACATGTATTGTTTCCCATTTTCCACTGGACCTGAAAAATGGAATATATTCAAGATGGATGATTAAGATAATGAAAAAATTTGACTTATAATGAGGATTCTCTTTGTTTCACCCCAAAGATTAAGTAAGAGGTGTCAGCTTAGTGCCTGTGGACAATGTGATGCGCTCATTGGTCGAATCACTATCAAGTGACAAGGATGGCTTGTCTACACATTAAATCTGAGCAGTAGTTCCAAAGATAAGCTGCAGATACATAGCGACCATGCTGAAAGTCAAATAAGCATTGAGAAATCTGCTGCTGCTGCTACTAAGTCGCTTTAGTCGTGTCCGACTCTTCACGACCCCATGGACTTCAGCCTACCAGGCTCCTCTGTCCATGGGATTTTCCAGGCAAGAGTACTGGAGTGGGTTGCCATGGCCTTCTCCAGGAGAAATCTAGAACTTAGGAAAAAATAAAAACAGCATAACCTTTTAAAAAACACTTCCTGGAAACAGAGGCGTAGCCATCATGACACTCTTTGTGCGTTCTCATAACCCTGGCTATGACTCATTAGATGATAAGAAAAGTGAAAAGTGAAGTCGCTCAGTCCTGTCAGACTCTTTGAGACCCCATGGACATAGCCTACACCAGGCTCCTCCGTCCATGGGATTTTCTAGGCAAGAGTACTGGAGTGCGTTGCCATTTCCTTCTCCAGGGAATCTTCCCAACCCAGGGATTGAACCCAGGTCTCCCGCATGGTAGACAGACGCTTTACCATCCGAGCCACCAGGGAAGCCATCGTTAAAAATTAGAGAATGAAATGTTCAATTTTTATCAAAACACACACTTTTTCCATCACAACAATATGTGAGGATTAAACACTGAAAGACCCAATATGTATGCATGTATATTGAGACACATACACACACAGGCAAACACACAAGCACACGTGATGCATTTATATGACATAAGGAAATTATATATATAGTATATTATACATACAAGTTGTAAGCTCTATAGCAGAAGGATTTGACTGACTTCATATACGTCATGTGCGGAAAAAGAGTATTTGACACATATGAAGCATGCACATGAAAGAAATAGTAATAGCTATTTTTGGGAAATAACCCAGAAAGAATTGGATTGATTTTTGACAAACACCTTCAGAAAGAATGTGCACAAGGAATTGTATTCATGGTAATTAGTCACTATGAAAATGCATTGAAGTTACTCAAAATAACCACAAAGTGGGAACAAAACCACTTTCCAGTAACAGTGACGTATCACCCAGGGGTTAAGCCATTAAGAATCTGCCTGCGATGCAGGAACCACAGACCATGTTCGATCCTTCAGTCAGGAAGATGCCCTGATGGAGGGCATGACAACCCACTCCAGTATTCTTGCCTGGAGAATCCCATGGACAGAGGAGCCTGGTAGGCTACAGTCCAAGGGGATGCAAAAATTTGGACACAGCTGAAGCAACTGATCACGCATAGCACATACAACATTTTATCAGTGCAAACAATATCTTTTAACTTAGCTTGAAAAGTGTGACTCCCTGCATATGCAGATCAGAGATAAATTTTTTAACATCATGCTGAGTGATGGAAGCCAGGGAAAATGACGCAGGGCTCATAATCTTGTCTGAAGTTCTAAAAGAGGTCACTATAGCAGATACCTTGTAGACTTTTAATAGTGAGGAAAAGGAGACTTTGGGCAGAGATGGAGGAATTTTGTATCTGGATTATGGAGGTCATGAAAAAGGTGTGCACACATCAACACATTGAACTGTGCTCTCCACAAAGGTTCATATAATTACATATAAATACACTTGAGCACAGTTGATTTCGCAGAGTAGCCACATGAAAATTCAAGCATAGAGTTCAAAAGTTTAAAAATCAGCAAAGGGGAAGCTAATAACGGTGTTCTAAAAATATTAGTGAAAACATACAGATATATCTCCTCAGATAGAATATATGTATACATTTTCTACATATACACCCATATAGAATATGTGTATGTGATGTGTGTGGTTGTGTCTGTTAGTCTATATCTGTATATGTGGTTGTAATTGATTGATGTATACTATCAAATATACATATAAGATATATAATACATGAACAGTTACACCTTTATATATCTATAAACCTGTCTCTCTAAGAATAAATGTCTTAATTGTTATTTCTTAATATTTTTGTTCCTCCATCTCCATATACATCCCTGAGTTTGCATGTTCTCAGTAAACCATCTGCAGTGTAGCGGACATCCCTGAGTGGTCCTTGTTCCTGTGAGTCTTCAGTAAACTCAGTGGTGATGAAACCTCCCCTGAGGAAGCCCCGAGGGCAGAGCTCACTGTATGCTTTCCCTCCTGCCCTCGGCTTCTGCGCTCAGTGGGAACCGTTTCTTACAGATTCCACAGGAAAGGGTCAAGCCCCTAGTGGGGACTGTGGGTTCTAGGACACGAACTGCTCCCCACTTCTGTGTCCCTCTTCCTTTCCTTCAATGAGTTGATGCCAGTGGAACTTCTGGGAACCATCCCCCATAAGAAAAGGCTCCAGGACATTCCCTGGAGGCTCATGGGGAACTGCCCCCCACCCCCCCACCCCCCAGCTCAGAGACCCGGCTCAACCCCACCGCTCAGGGCGTCATGCTCTCAACATCATCCGGAGAGCTCTCTATGCATGGGGAAGCCACACTCTCCCTCAGGCTTGGGATTTACATGTGTTTTCCTTCTGGGTTGCTTTTACTTACCTGTCATATAAATCGAACTCTACTGTGCCCTTTCCATCATCAAACACATGATTGCACAAGTAAACCTTGAGTGGCACCTTCTCTGGGTTTCTGGATACAAAGGACACGACTCTCCATTTTCCTGAAAGCTAACAGCAAAACTCCCATTAGAAAATTTGTTCTTGTCTTTCTATTTCATCTAGCATCATGCCACCCAAGAGTCCTATCCCTTGTGAAACTCAGCACACCTTATTTAACTTGATTGAGTAAAGCAGGATTGATAAAATAATGCAAAACAGAAGCAACAAGGAATTGAGACATTTCTGAAAGAGCTTGGTCTCTGATGTCCAATGAATGAGCTCAAATCCAACAGTGGTTGGCTGGTCCTCTTTCTCTGTTACAAGACAAGAAAAATGCATGAAAGTCAATTAATACACAGTTGAGATGATACAGACATCAAACAGAACAGGTATAGAGTGAGTTAACAGAGCAATGTTGAGTTGAAGGGAGGTGGATAGGCTTAAAGATCCACATAAAAAAGCCATAAAAGGGACACACACACACAAGACCTCCTCCCAGGTCAGACCATCCCTGGTACCTCCGAGACACTTTGCTCAGCTTCCTCTTCCTGGGCAGCACAAACCAGACCAAGGAGAAGAGTCAGGAACAGAACCTTCATCTTGAGGCTCTCGTAGTCTTTCTTCTGTCAAGGCTGAGGGTGTCCCAGTGTTTGAAGAGGATGGGAACTCTGCCACTTTTTATAGTGTCCTTATGTTAGTGTGACACGTCACAAACCAATGGTTGACCCTCCTAAAACGATGTTACACAGAAGTCATCTTCCGTATCCTGCTTGGCACGACTGAGCTTTTATGGCATGTTGTCACCGTGATCATGAGGTTGGGTTTAGGAGAAGGCTCAGTGAATCTGGACATTTGACCTTTAAAGTGAGTGAGAAATTACAATACACATGTAT